TTGCCTAGGCAATACTCGATTTTATTGTAATCAGGCCTCATTTACATTTTTATCTTCTAGCTTTTTTCACACTTGTTTTTATTCTCAATTTTTCGCACCCCATTCGTATATATTTTCGTTTGCGCGCCACATTTTTCATTCGTGAAAGGCTATAGACTGATAGCCGAAAGCTTATGTTTTCAATTTATTTTTAACCAGAGAGCGTTTTTATTCCAATAAGTATAAATTTTGTTACAAGACAGATTATTCAAGCACTGGGGAGATCATACCACCCATCTTGTTTTAGATGTTCAGTTTGCCAAACAGAATTAGATGGAATTCCCTTTGCTCAGGATCAGGAGAGCAGAATATATTGTGTTCCTGATTACCATAGGTGTGTATAATACAGAGTGTTGTCCGTCTCATATCCAGTCTGAAAGCAGAGTGCAAGAACAGCTACAACAATTTTAACTTCTGTTTATGACTCCACAGAAAATTCTTTCCAACCTGTGCTGTCTGCCATAAATTAATTGTTCCTACAAAGGTGAGTTTTGAGCAGCAATGTAGTATTCTAAATTTCATCAACTTTTGATTTAAAACATTTTGTAGATCCATCAAACATTACACACTCCCAGCACCCACTTATTACCGCCAATTTTGCCAGTTCCAAAGAAAAGCTCTTACACTGTACATTAGCCTACCAGTTAATATTGACAACAGGCATTCNGGGTGTAAGGGTATAAGGCGTATAAGGTTATAAGGTATAAGGGTATAAGGGTTATAAGGGTATAAGAGATATAAGGGTATAAGGGTATATCGGTATCAGGGGTATAAGGGGAATAAGGGTATAAGGGTACAGTGGAATCCCGATTTTACGAACCTCCAAGGGAAACAAAAATTGGTTTGACAAAATTGGAGAGTTCGAGAAATCGGGGGTAAAATTACAATGTTTGACAGAGGAGGGGAAATGGCATTTGGTTCGAGTTATTGGGAGGTTTGAAAAACTGAGGGTTCGAAAATCGGGATTCCACTGTATAAGGGGTATAAGGGGTATAACGGGTATAAGGGTATAAGGGGTATAAAGGTATAACTCAACACATACATATGATGTAATTGTAATTGTTTCATTGCATACTGCATTTTGAGATATGAGTCCTGGTTGCTTTTTTTTTATTGTTGGATAAAAACCTACTTAACAATGGTTTGGCCAGAGTACCATCTAAGGAGGAGTGGCAAATTACTCCAGACTTTGTCATTCTGTGTCTCAGAGACTGCGGATATTATACCATTCAGCTGGTCTTTGAAGCTCCAAAAAAGTTTTTTCCTCTATTTCACTAATCTGTTACTAACTGAGCATGAGGTCTGTACTGGGGAATATGCCCAAGGTTTTGGCAGTACTGACCAGGTGCAGTGAGGTCTATCCAAATTGACTGAGTGTCAATATTTCCCAGTATGGCTTGAGCAAGTTAGGTTAGTAAGTGGTTCATTATATGACACTTGCTGGCTTTTGAGGAATAAAATACACGGCTTACTGTTGACCATGGAAACTGTTTATATGGCAAAATCCAAACCTAGAAAGAACCAATTAGAATGCTCAGATTTATCTCAAGACTGCCTCACCATGTAATAATGGCAGTTATTTCTTCACTGAAGATTATTCTCAAATTTTAACTGACTTGAAATGAGGCTTATCTAGTGATCATTTTTAAATTAATAGTTGTTTTAATTTCTTCTTTTACAGGATTGTGGACTTCAGCTTTCAAACAAGAGACAATGTTATCCTCAAGACCAACACATCCTCTGTCTAAAGTGCAATGGTAAAAGAACACCAAAATCAAGATCACCACAAGTCACCCCTGTTAATACACCTTGCGATTCGCCAAACATTACACCTCGCTGTCTACCTCGTGGAAGGCCACGCATTTTGCGTGGTAAACGTTTGTGAATAAAAATCTCTTTAAAGCAATATCATTTTGTTAAAATAATTGCTTGCAATTCAGTTTGCCATGTATGTATGCTCAAAGTTGACATTCAAAGGTTATATTTTTAGAAGTAATGAAATATATTTGAAAAAAAGGTTTGCCATATTGAAGAGTTTGTTTTTAGTAAAACTGCTTAACCCATTGACTCCCGTGCTCCCCGTAACTGGCCGTGACGAGCCTTGACCTTTGTTTCACTTCTGATGTAATCACCGTTGACCAAAATTGGCATCATCTATGCTCAACTTCTGCAGCAGGAAAAGATCTTTCCAATGATACCCAGATCAGAGTGATTGGCTCAATGGAGCCTGAAATATGCACGAAAAATGCTCAAAAAGTTGAGTGAAAAACTCAGAGCAAAATTTCCTATGACTACACATGGCTACTCCACGGTAAAAATTGCCTGTCTCAATCATGCTTTCTCAGAATTGTTTGAAGTGGAAGCAAGCCCAGTAGAAGGTCAATCAGTGCAGCGAAAAGAAAAGAAAAGGAGAAAAAGGAAAGGTGAAAAAAAAATTTAAAAAATCAAAAAGCCTAAAGACGTAGGTCACTTTCAAAATTTTGATTTCTGTGCATGCCCAAGCAAAAATGTCATAAAACACAATGCTAGTGGAAAGAAAAGTATGCTGTCATGTTGCAAATGCCTTTTTGAGTAGATTGGAGCTAATTTGGCTCATATCCAGCTCCAAAATGTCCGAAAATGCATTTTTGGCAAAAAGCTCCAGGAGTCAATGGGTTAATATTGTATAAATGATTATTTTCACTAATAAAACAATATTACTCTTCTGTATTATTACAAAATAATATTGTCATTAAATATTTACACATCACAATTCAGGAACACAGTTTTCTTTCAAGATAATTTTCCTTAAAGAAGCAACCCTGCTCTGACATAGTGCCCTCCTCCGAATAAACACCCACCCTTTTGGCCAAAATAGCAAATACGTGCCCCTCATCCAATAAGCTCCCCCTTGCCCCTCAATTTCATAAATAGTAGTGATACAAGGGAAACCTGTTTCTGTTTGACTTTATTTATAATCTTTTAAGCTTCAACCACACTAGCGTCAACATACATGTAGGAAAACAGTTTCTTTTCTGTTAAGTCACTTCCAGTTTATTTCCATCTCCATGTGCTAGCAGAGTTCTATTATGTGCATCATCTGTTCTTTTAATTTTTGTCCTCTTGTCACAGTCTTTATAAATGCCGAAAACTTGAATCCCAGGCTCAGCTAGACTATTCTCTTGTGTTTGAGGACTGGTAATGTTTATACAATCATTAAATTATTGGGATGTACTTGGAGAAAAACTGTGCCTCCAACTTGATTAACTAGTGTCCTGGCACGTGAGGGAATACAGTAGACATTTCGGAGAACTGTACCGGAGGAATTTCTTCCAACACTGCAAGTTGTTTACCAAATTAAAGTGACCTTGATGTTTTGAGTAGTGTTACTGGTCATCTTCATCAAATTATGAGGAGTCTGAATGCCTTGCATCCGACTGCTTGAAAAAAATAATTCCCAGCAAAATTCAAAGCACCTTAAAAATCTGACCTGGCTCATCCTTGGAGACCCAGGGGCAGCTAGTTGGGACATCACAAATTTTTGGGCAAAAGTTTACATCAAGAGTGGAGCTTCTGCCTGAAAACATTGCCTGCCTGAAAATATTGCATCATCTCAACTAGCTGCCCTTGGGTCACCAAAGATGGACAGCTGGGCTCAATGGGACCATGTCAAAGGCATCATGCAATAATGTTCAGTATCACCTTGATATTGGTACAGTCTTGAAAACAATTGGCTTAGGTCGGGTCTTGAAAATAATTTTCTTCTTCACCAATGCACAGACATCATAATGTGTTTCCCCTTTCTTGTCATGATTGTCCTCATCATTGGTTTTCTTGTGTAGTACTGCATATGGCTTGTCCAAGTCAACAACTTTACCAGTGAGTAGATGGTGACCAATGATAAGCATTGGTGTTCCCTGTAATGAACCCAAAGGGGACATTTTCATATTTGTAATTTAATTGTGATCAATATTGATTTCTTTATATGATATCAATATGATAAGGGATGATGAATGGTAAAATCTGAGACTTATGGAGACACTGTAAGCCTTATTTGAAAATTCAATACTTTGAGCACCATAATTTTCTAAGAACCATTTCCCACTCTAATATGTTGTCAAGAAGACAGGGATATTGTCATGATTTTCTAGTATTTGATAAAACATTTTCAGCCTGGACTAACCAGTGGTGGATCCAGACCTTGAGCTAAGGGGGTGGGGCTGGTTTTGTTTTACTTGCCCTGCCAGCTTTTCTTTACCCAAAATAAGGGTAGATCCTAGATCCGCCACTGCTAGCATTAAAATTTCAGTGCAGTGTGTGCCTCTATGTTGGACGTTTGGTGGCTTAACACTCCAAATTGAATGGCACTAGTCTTTATTAGTATAAATGTTCCAGCTGTGACAGGCAAGGCACTGTACCCTTACAGCATCTCTATGCCCCACATAAGCATAAATGGATATGCTGACCTGTTTATGGGACTAGCTGGATAAAATACCAGGGGGTGGGGGTAGCTGCAATGGACTAGCACATCTAGAGGTAACAAGACTCTTCTCTGTCCCTCCACAGCTCTCTGTTCCCTGATCAAACATGTATCCCTAAACGGTGATAGTGAAAACTATGGGTGACAGGGTAGGGAAAAACAAACTAAAAGTAGCCTGTGAACAGGGTTCCTAGCGGGATATATAGGCGACAAACAATTGACGCCGAATACCTTACTAGGGAGTCTGTTGACAGTCATAATGTTTATTCGGTGGTCGCATTGGTGAGCTTATTAAACGAGGTCCAGTATTAAGATCCCGCTGCTTTGGGTTTGTAAGTCAAGAATAATATTAGGAATTTCACAAGCAGTAAATTCAGGTCGTTGTGAACAATATAAGCTCAATACAGTCTACTACTTTTCTGATTATCAACCACGTTAGAGAAGACAGTCGTTCGCTTTACCGACCTTTCCATCGAAATGCAAGTCACCGATGGCCTTCCCTTCCAAACTGACGTCTTCCTTTGTCTCCAGTGTGCCCTGAAGTTCAATTATCGTCCAGTTATCAACGCCTGGAGCCCTGTAATAATCATTTAACAACGATTTACACGATCGATCGAATTAAGTTCGCGATCAAGCGTTGTAGGCTTAAAATTAGAACGATCGAATTAAAACGCTGAAACCTCGAAGAAAGTTCGTAATTATAAAAACACGTTCAATCAAATTTAACATCACGTACTGCTTACATTGATATCAATATCTGTACCATCTTGACTATTCCAGGATCAAACCCCGGCCAAAATGCCAACGTTTCTTATCCGAGTCAAAATGACGCTCTCTTCCGTGGACGATGTAAATTTCCCGCGAAATTTGCCAATTATCGTTATTTGAAAGACCGCTGACCAGGTGACCGAGGTGTCTCGGGCTCATCTGGGTGGGAGGAAGGCCGGGAAGGAAGGCCAGTGCCTGCCCCACCTAAATCATCTTTCCCCCCTGCTTCTTACCGTCTCATTAGTTGTGCCCCCTGTCCTTTATCCACCTAACACCCGCTTCATAGCATTGCCACCCCCTTTTCACCCAGGTTCCTTCTTCCACACCCTCTCAAAGGTGTCAGGTAAGTGCAAAAATATAATATTCTGAAACCTTTTTTCTTTGTTTTTCAAGTCTCCCAGGTTGACCTTCTTCATGCCTTTTTAAGTAACTTCAAAATGCCAGTTACTTTAACTCATCTATAGAGATAAACCCTTCCCAACACAAGTCAGCGTTTTGAAAACTGCTACACCATTGGAAAATAAGGTGAAGCACATTTTTTATGCAAATTGAAGTGGATACAAAAATAATTAATATTTTAGTACAAGTCCTACAGTGTTGGGTGTGGTATTAAAGAGAGAAGTAAGCTTAGAGAATAGGGGCTGGAATCAAAGGCTTAAAACAAAAAAAAAAGAATGTCAAGCTACAATCTGAGGCAACTCACCAATAACAATAAATATATTAAACAAAGAAAAAGAAAAAGGTTCAAAGGGGTTAAGGAGGCATGATAGCAAGTTGTATACATAAAGGCAAGTGGAAGAAAGGGCCAAAAATTTGTGTTCAGTGGATGGGTGGTCAATAAGGACGTGAAGTATAACAAGGCCGGCGTGAGTAACAGTAAGCACTGATTCACTCACTTCATATAAATTATAATTAATATATTTCAACTAAAATGGTTGCAGAGACACTCTGAATGGGCTCCAATGCAGTAACATTTATTTTTGGACAAAATTCCACACCTAGTTTACAATAGATCTCTTTTTACACACATTCACACCTTAGGACTAATTTTCAGAGTAGAGAAAGAAGGAAGGAAAAAAATGCTTAAAAAAACTGGAGGACTGTTACAAGCAATTTCATATTCTTCATTCGTTTGTTCATAAAGCATCTGCTAAATCTTCTCAAGAGACAGTTGAAGAGCAATCTGAAGCATTTCCTCTTCAGATAAATCTGAAAACAAGATAAGACAACATTGATTGAGCATTAAATATTTTAGTCAAGTATAAATTTTAACTAACATGGGTGGCAAGGTGCTCCTATGGTCGGCAGGTTGGACAGATAAAAACTGCCTGAGGCAATATCTGTTTTGGTCAAGTCAGATAAAGGGCCCTTAGTAAATAAAACCACCACTGACTCTGATCAAATTACAGTAACAAGATATAAGAGGTTTAAGAAGGGAGCCCAAAGCAACCCACCACGGCACTTTTCAGTGAGCCCTCAAAGAAAAAAATAAATAAACAAATAAATGAAAATAAATTTTTAATAATTATTTGATTAATGGTGGTCTCCTAATTTGCATCCAGCTGTTGGGCATTGTCATGCAGGGAAGGGAGCACTGTGTTCAACAACCTCAAAGGAGACTATAGACCAAGCTGATATATTTTTAGTTCCTGTGTATAATTTAAATTATGTGCGTTTATGTCATTAATTTAACACATTAATTACAGGCGTGGATCCATGACGGTTTCCATCATTTTATGGAATCACTCAGAAACCCAGGACAGAGGACTTTAGGGAGTTAAAATCCCCAACATTTCCTGGGAGAGAATGGCTACAGATCCCTTTAGAACCTTGTGCCTAATCAGCACTCATTGTTTTGTAGTTTTGATCACCATTTATCTTTGATCTGCAACTGAGTTGATACTTTTAAATGTGCCACTTCAAAAGTTTTTTTTGTTTATTAGTCTACCTGAGGATGCAGCCTGACTTGTGGGTGGACCTGGACCTGTCATTATTTGTTGAGATAAATCTGCTGTCACTGCAGTTGCGGTTGGATTGCCTGCTTGGTTTTGTTCTTTCCTACAAACAAAGTAGAAAGAATAACTTGTGGTGACCTAAGTCAATTTTGGCAAATGCTCAGGAGAGATGCAGTAGCTCAGCACAGGGAGGTGTAGTCTTCATAAACTGCGCAGAAGAGCAGATGACAAACCTCAACATGTTCAAATTTACCTTGTAAAATATAGTTCTCTTCTTCTTCTTACTTCATCCATATCAGCTGGTTTGTCTGATGAACAAAACATTGCATTTTAATTGACCATGACCAAATTCTCATAATTGTAGTCAATTATCTGTAAAGCTAACCAGTACTAACAGTGACCACTCCCTGTTACATGGTCAGTTATCAGAGTCTCAAAATTCTTGCAAGAAACTGCAAAGAAAATCCTTATTAACTGGCCACCTACTAAAGTGGCCACAGCTACCTTTGGTTGTCCCAGTAAGGGTTGTCTATTGTCCTTACCCCTAATCTTAATTTAACACAGTCACACAGTTTGGTTTTGTTTTGGAAAGTCTCACATTCAAACACATGTTAACTTTAAAAGTAAATATATGAACGATCATATATCAATCAATCATGTCTTCACAAGTTAAGCGCCTTAATCATGTTTGTATTTGAAAAAAATTGACGTTTCTACTCAGCCTCATGCTCATTCCCACAAACTCTCGACTCACTCTTATTAAGCTGCCAACTCCTATTAAACAGCCACCTCCCATTTCCCTGAGGGTGGCCACTTAATGGGGGTTCCACTGTATTGCTAAACAAAATGTATGGAAAAAGGTGCCGAGAACAATATCTGGCTGGCAAAGAGAGAATATAAAACAACTTGTTTTTTACCTTCACCTCCTAATCTAGTGGCTTGCTGAAGAGCAGCTGTTAAGTCTGATTTGTTAACATATGTGTGAGCTGTTGATTTTGAAGGCTTTTTCTCTGGCTTAGCTGGACACAGTTTTAATAACTGGTCTGCTTCACTTTCTGGTAATTTTCCCTCCACAACAAATATTGAATAACCTGTAATGCAAAAGGTATACTAGTGCCTTATGATTTGATGCTTGGAACTGATTACAAACAATAATAGTTATTAATAATATTTTAAAACGTGATCCCTGGGGGTGTGGAGGTCTCAAAAAATGAAACATTTTAATGGAAGGTATGAAGATAAACTGGAATTTTCTGACCTTCCTCTTCACACACTCAAATTCTAATTATCTCCCACAAAACAAATATCTACTATCCACCCTGAAAGACTGTATGTCTTCAATATTGGCTGTATGGTGAACGTTTCACACACAAGGGAAAAGGTCCATTTACTCGGGCTAAATGACAGAAGGTCATAAATTGTAGTGACTGAAAAAAAGGTCAATTTTAAATACCTTCTGCCTGTAGTTGTGTAAGAAATAATGACAAGTATGTCTCTGTAATAAGTTCTGGTTTGGAAAGTAGCGAGTTGAGGTTAAACCACTGAAAAAAGTGAAAATTACAGATACATTAAAATACCATAATATTACCAGTCAACACCATAGCCAGCAAACAGGCTCACCTTTGAGTCACAAGCACGAGCGGCGAAGAGCAAAGCAATCTGGCAGGAAGGAGACTGGTGAAGAGGCTCCAAGAAAGTGAGCCTGCCCTGATCTCTCTAATTTTTTTATTTCTGCTTCATCTGAGCAAAGTGAAATACCATTGGTCGAAAAGCTGGAAAGGCGAGAAAACTGCCAATCTATTATGTCTGATGATGAGCGATTAAATCCCCATGGAGTCGGTAATTTACTGCACAATAAAAAACAAGTCATCCACATTTTGAGTCAGAGGAAGAGCTGAGTGTGCATTTTACTGATGTTTTAACAAAGTTCCAGTCTATTTCTGGTTAAATTTCACACTAAAGAGGGACCAGGAAATAGCAGTTGAAAGTATGTTAATGACTCAAGACATACTTGTCATGTTGCCGACTGCATATGTGAAAAGTAGTTTAATATTACAAACGTATGTGATTACAAGCGGGCAATGAAACAACACTGACAAAGGCGCTTGCCTGTTTACCAGTATCATCAAAGACCAGATTGCCAAAGCACAATCACTTGGAATCAAGTGTGCATCCTTAGTAGACATAAACTTTGACAGTTTTTCTTCAGCAAAACTTTATCAACAATGGATATCACGCCTACATGTTGTTACGAAAAGATTTACAATTTTCCTGAGAAATCTGAGCTGCCAAAGTTCATACTTCCGGTGAAAATTAATTGACTTATTGTTTTCTGCAGTTTCTGGGGTGGAAATACAAAATTTGCAGAGATCAGAGCTGGCTCACTTTCTTGTCTCGCAGCTTCACCACTCGATTTCGTGCTCGCGGCTACGCCACACACACTTGTGCTCCAATGTGAGCCTGCTCGTAGGCTATCAACACCATTTCATTGGAGTCTCACAAATCAGAATGGGTTTGACGCTGTTTTAAAGATCGAAACATTGCACATTTTAAGGAGTGCCACCCAAACTTGTGGAACATTTTTCAGAGAGAAAAATGTTTAAGATCTGTTTAACAGTAAGGAGGATGATTGACATAAAAATAACAAATACTAAAGTTCTGCATCATTAATATTAAGTCATTTTCATGCCCAGTGGCAGGCACAGTATAATAAACAGAGAATCAAGGACTCCCTGTTTATGAAATAACTGGGTAGCCACATTCTTTTTTATATTATCTTTTAGCTACAAGCTACACAAATGAGATCCTTTGCAAAGTCTTTAATGAACTTAAAAGGATTCAGTACCATCATGATGGGGTTTTCAATTAAGCAGGTGGGATTTTGTTAGCCTCATAATTTATTCATGCGCAAAAAAAGTTAACCTGACTACTTAACAAGGTGCAGGCAGCTGTTATATGGCACCTAACATAGTTACTTAAACACATTATAAATTAATGAACTAGTATGTTAATTGGACAAATCAGCTCTGTGGTGTCCACACCCAAAATGCTCTCTTTTGACCAATAATATTACTGACAAGAATTTCACATTTCATATCATTACCTGATGACCAAGTTTTCTAATTGTCAGCCAGTGTTGTTGTAAGTTACATATAAATGCTCTCTGGTTCCTAGTTTAAGATAAAACAGATATAATAAATTACTTATTAATTCTTTTTTTAAATTTAGTATTTGCAACTCTTCAGAATTACACTAGCACTGTAACTGTTGCACTAGTTTGTCCAACAATTTTTAAAAATATTTAACATTAAAATATAATGTACCATGAAGGCTTACTGAGGTTTTTCTCTGGCCTGCCTGGCTTCAGGACTTAGGAAAGGAATCAGTTCAATACCCCATACCCTGAGAGCATTACATATCACCTGAAATCAACAACAAACAAGAAACTACTGAGACAAAATTGCTGTTAATATTTCAATTTAGCACTCTCCTTCCAATAACAGGGCTGTGCTCTAGAAGTGCCAGGGTGCCACAGACAACTAACTTTTGCCTTTGGGTGACTGGAAAAACTTACTTTCTTCTGGGCATCCAAGATTTCTTGGTTGGGAACCTTTGGGCTCCTCGTAATTTTTCTTAGACTCTAGCCTTGAATAAGCACCCCCTTTCTAATAAGTGCTCTCCCTTAAGGTTACAGTATACCTTCAGATCGGCAATTTTTTTCAAATTTGGATTTTTTGTTCAAAGTAATGGTCGAAGAGTAATCTCTAATTTCTGAAAACAAAATTGAAAAAAACGTTATATTGGCGGAGAAATGGAGGTTTTACATTATGGCTGGAAGTAAAAGTTCCCTCTTGATTGACAGCCCTAAAACGTGTATGCAATCAACCGAGACAATCAACCAATGAGTGAAGAAGCGAACGTTGGCCTCGCGGATAAAGCTACGGATGTATCAAGCGGGCAAAAAGATCGAGTCAAGAGAAGAGAAAGGTTGTGTAAAATTTGGGAGCTTGACAGCAATAACAGCGATGTTTACAGTGGCTCTTTTGTTGAGTTCGATACTGATGAATCGTCCAACTCATTGAGATCCATTGGAATATTATCCATCCACATTTGCTCTGCCGCGCTNTAATTTTGGATACACTGATTTGAAACAAACAACACAATGATTATTTATCACTCTTCAGAACAAAATTCTGGAAGGCTTAAAATCTTTGAATTATGGTCTTGGAATCTCAAATCATTATTTTCAGCATAACAGTGAATTTCTAAGTTCTGTACACAAACTACTGGGCCTACGCATCTCTACAAGGCCCAAGTTGAATAGTGTTTGAAATATCATAAGATTCCTTACCTGAATAGAGAAGAATCCACTATCATCCATATTTGAGGATGGTTGCTGATTAAATCAAATGACAGTACATACCACTTAATAGGCACTTAGAACTCACAGATTATAACATAGTCTGCATACGAACCAAGTGTCCCATCAGGCTGGAGCTTATCCCAGTTTCTGTAGTATGAAGTGGCTAGGAGTATTTCTACTCCCCCTGGATGGCATGCTAGTCCATCACAGGGTTACCCCCAGCATTAAATTCATTGGTACCCATTATACACCTGGGTTGAGAGAGGCACTGTGAGAGTAAAACGTATCGCTTATGAACACAACACAAAGCCCAGGCCGCTTGATCTGTAGACAAGTGCACAAGCTAACAATGAACCCACCGCACCTCCCAAAAAAACATAGAACAAGCAAATAATGGTCAATACTGGTTGAATTAGTATAAACCTACAATGGCCCTACATAAACCTACAATAGCCTCATGGAACAAAGCATTCTGTCCATTGTAAGGAGGTAGCCACTTGAAGAGGTAGTATGGTAGTACCTTAAGAAATTCTTGATAATCTTGCGAGGTAACATCTCCCTCTGCCATTCTCTCTCTTTCATCTTCATCTAGCTGAGTTGCTATATCTGCTAGATCTACTGCGGTTAGGTAAGGACCTGAAATATAGAGAAGCCGAGTGTGCAAGAAAATGTGCTATTGGATTGGGATGGGTCTTTGACCTACTAGCTGTTTTAGAGGTGGGTCGTGAAACCTAAATTTTGCCCATATCCCACTTCCCAGTCTATTTTTATGTAAATCCAGGTCCCATCATTTTCCATTTTTTGTTCATGATTTCCAGTCCCAGTGAACTGAATCCCATTTTACCGGTGAAAAAAAAGGCAAATCCCCTTTACCACGATGATTACACCTTCAGGCCCCTCTCAGAGGGATATCAGGTTCACCCTTTTAATAGTCTGTTGAATTCTTAGATCAATGGTTTGGCTTTTGTTCACAGTTCTTTTATTGTAATGAAGGGGATCAGAGGAATCAGAACCAAGGGTAAAAAACCTTGGAGGGCGTTGTTGTGGGAAGGGTATGGGAGGTGAGAGAAGAAAGGCCAGGAAACTAGAAAGGAGAAGTGGGAGAAAACAGCAAAATGTTGTTCCTCCCTAGGGAAATAGTCACTGAACACTGGATTTGAATTGGCCTTTACTCAGTTGCATGGTATAATGAGCAGTAAATGGCCCCAAAACACTAAAATATTGATGGTTGAAGTGAAACAAAAGTCACCACTGTCTAGTCGATCATGGGAGAGTTTGGCATGTAATGTTATGCAAATTTCTTTTCCTCAAACACCTTGGAAAACCCCCTGACAGAACGAAGTCTTTAGTTGGAGGAAACCACGTACAGTAATAAAAATCAAAACAGGCTAAGTGGTGTTAATAAAAATTATGACAAGGTTTACACACTGTCACTTCAAAATAACAAGCAAGGTACACAGTGAGCCTGCCGGCCAAATTAATTACGGTGTTTCTTCTCAACTTAAATTGTGACCAGTAGAATAAACAAACGGATTTCATTCCTAATCCATCACGAATCGTATACGACACAAAAGCTTAAACAGTAATTAAGCTTAGAAGCCACACAAGTACTGTACAAAAATAATTCGTTTTAAGTAAGCTAATTAACTCACCTTGTAATAGCGCATTGAGGCAGTGCTGTGCACACAGAGAGCCTTCTTGCTACATTAGGAAAACAAAGCTTTATTACCAATCGTTGTTAACGCATTTATGTTTTTATAAACTGGAAAACGAAGCAGGGATTGAAGCAAAACATTACCTTTTCGTGGAAGATTGCATCCATATTTACTCTTTATCCAAGCGGAAACTGCGAGCGCCTGGGGCGAGCGAAAGTGCATTGCTTCACAACCCAGAATAGTCTTTGACGAAAGGAAACAAGATGGACGAAGTACACGAAGGTGGGATGAATTATGGCTGTATCTACTTAATTGTATCGTTTTATCGAGAGCTAAATAGTTATTCTTGGAGATTTAACTTGACTCTTCTTGAATATTTCAAAGATTACGCTAAATCGTTCCTTTCTTGTTGAAAATGAAAGCCTTTTAGAGGTCAACGATCTCTTGTTTGAGTTGACGCACAGTTTTGTAATTGTCTTGCTTCTCCTCTTCCTTTAGTCGACATATGCAGGGTTTGTCGAGCTGAAGGGACACATGATAAGCCATTATACCATCCATGTATCTGCACCGGAAGCATAAAATATATACATCAGGAATGGTACGTAAGCTCAATTCGCTCACTTGATGATCGATCTAAAGCTGGGTAAATATCGTTGATTAGAAATGATTGTGGACAGAAAGTGACGAACTAATTACACAGTTTCACAAAGTGTACAACATTTGTTTCAAGCTTGAAGAAATTTAAATAGAATAAAACCGAAAATTCTTGAATATTTAGAAAGCATCCTATGGTTTCCAACCAATATGTTGCTGTCAATATTATCGGGTCGGAAGTTTTAAGGACCCGTTGACTGAACACTATGGGTTACTCTAAAATGAAAAACAAAATGTGATGGTGTTTATTTAGTATTTATATAGACACGAATTCTTTTTTCGATTTTTGATAAGAAGCTTCGTTTAGATTCTATTTAACTTAATAAAAGACCCAGAGCCACGCATGTACATATATTAGGCTGTCAAGGAACAGGAAGGTTCTCAGACTGAAAGCTGTCCACAGCATGAACTCCAGGCCGTCTGTAACTTTTGTAGCTTTGATGTTGTGTAATCATTTAGCAAAGGGCAAAAAATGATTGCACAGTAGCCACAAGCGACTGATTTTAAAGTGCAGCACTGTTCTTTGAAAAGTTGTTTTCGTGATCATGGCATAATGTGCTAGTGTAGGCATTATTTTATTTATTATTGTGACATGAGAATAGTGAAAAACTAAAAATGTAGTTGCTCATCCTCGATTCAGCGCATATTACCCAAGGAATAAAAAGTCAGAGTGTTTTGTAACATTATGGCTTTAGATTTAGTGCTTATGCAGTAAATTCTGCATGTTTTATGCTCAGATTATACTGCCAAATGTAGAGTACATACAGAGCCCAAATTGATATACTTTAAGTATTAGCCTCTTCAAACCAACTAGGTCTGGTTGTTGCTGATTCCTGCTTCTATTCATTTACAGTCTGGTTCAATGGCTTAAACACAGCAAAAAAGAGTGAGTATTCATTCTTTACCTGGATTTCCTCTGTTATTATTTCGTTGTTTTAAAGTAAATAAGTTAATGTCTATGTATACATAAAATAAATTAGAGAACTGGTATGGACAGCTTACAAAAATGTGGAAAAAGTTGAATCGCAATTAACTGTTCTTGTAGACGCAAGATGTTCATATTTGTTTCTCTTGTCCTTTACATACAGTAAGCTATATTTAGTAAAAATTCATGCTTGTTAGTAAAATCAATGTATATAAAAAAGCCCAACCATGGAAATCTAGTTTTTCTGTGTAAGGGTATTTCAACACGTCCAAGCCAGGCAGATGATTGTTTGGTGCATTTAAGTCATCACGAGTCCCAGTTTGATCTCTGGACAGAAGTCTTGTATTGTATTCTAGAGAAAGAAGCCTACTCACACAATGTCTCTCTCTAATATGGGAATATACAGAGTGTAAATGGGTGCCAGTGACCTTAAACAAAAATGCTGGGGAACGAGTGGATCAGACAAGTATCCCTTCCTGTCAGTAGTAACAATAATTTACTTACTCATAATGACAGACTTATCTACATATAATAGCTATTTCTATCAACTTGAAATTTGATAAACTCAAGGTAAATTACCCACCGTGACTAGTTTGTGAAGTGGACTTTGCAAGCGTCTTCAAGCGTCTCTTTTTTGTTCTGACAATTAAGGACTAATGATTGAAAGGTCAACATCACAAATTCATTGTGGCAGGTCATTTCCCTTTAACTTCAAGTTGATTAATAGCTACATATTTTACTTGCTCACCAATACACCACAACCNAGTTTGAACAAAAATCTATTGTCACTTTTATTTCAGAGGAATTACCTTAATGACCATACACAGTATTAATAGCTACGTATTTTACTTGCCCACCAATACACCACAACCTGTGGTTTCTTTAGAAAACTGTTATCAGTGGTAACTTCACTCAATGACCATACACAGTGTACAATGTATGACCCATTGATTTTCCTAGCCCATCACTATTAAGAAGCAGTAAGCTTCTTTCAGTGTGAAAACTTAATGGTTGATATGGTATGTAATATCTTTGGAGTTAACCTATTTCTTGTTTGTTGTCTGTTTCAGGTATTGTGAATTATGTAATCATCGGTTTGCTTTCAAACCAAGTAAGTACCTTGTACAAGATTATTGATCATATAATGTAACTTTATGGGACTTACATTACATTTCATCTAAAAGATATGTAAAGCACAAAGTTCTCTAGTTGTAATTCAAGTATGAATTTCAAGAAAATAAATATTTCAAAGTTGTCTGTCTGTTGCATTGTCCCTCAATCTAACTACCTGTCTGCTTCATATTTTAATGTTCATTTTACTAGTTATTCATCCATCCATCTATCTGTTCATTCATTCATCCATGAATTCAATCATTCATCCTTTATTTATCCATTCATTTGATTTTGTTTATACATGCATGCATTCATTCTTTCATGCATCTGTTGTAGGTCAAAATGAAATTCAGGTTAAAATGATTTTAACCTAGTTTGATTCTCAATTTCCATTGTGGTCTAACCCTAATTATTCATGAACCATGAATAATTAGGGTTAAGAGACAAAGGAATTTCATTTTAACCTATAACACATCCACTCATTCAGTCACTTATTTTTTGTGTTCATTCCTTTTGTTACAGTGTGTAATAAGTGTATATGTTTATTGTTTAGAAGTTTAAATGATCTTTGTACAGTATTTGCTGTATCATTTAATTTAGTAATGAACCTTTTTTTGCTTCTCATCAATTGCCATTTGACAGTTTATGCACCAGACATGCCAAACAGACTTCCTGTTAAGGACTTTGTTGGTGGCTTAGTAACAAATATTCTTAGAGCTCTTAAATACTGGCTTCATTACACACTTGTGGCCCTAGCTTGGCTTGGAGTGGTGCCTATTACAGCATGTAAGTGAACCCTCACTTTGCTACACTTCCGTTTAATATTTAAATTATCAAATGTACCCATATGTAGGCTATATAATATTTAGGGAATAGTTAATGTGGTTCAGGGTATTGTAGAGTAAGCACATGGAAATTTTTAACAGCTTGAAGGAAGTCCATAGAGAAGCACAAAAGTGCAGCCAAGTACTTGTCTTGTGTGTTTGTAACTAAAGAACACACATCAAGAAACAATGTTTTTTTACTATTACAAAATAATACTCAAGAAATTGTACACTCTTGTTCATTATAATTATGTACAGTAAACTGTTACAACATACAGCATGTTTATAACATAGGCTGTGTATTTATGGAGCGATAACAAACTCAAAGTGACCAATAATTTTGTAGCATGTGCAATTCCTTGTCTTATTTTCCTTTCTTTTCTTTTTTTTTTCTTTTTCTTTTTCTTTTTTTTTTTTTTTTTTTTTTTTTTTTGCTGTTTTAGATCGCATATACAGATGCCTGTTTGCTGGATCTGTCAATTCACTTCTTACTCTTCCTTTAGATATGTTATCAACGTAAGTGAGAGCTATTTCTTATTGTACCAGCATACAATGGACTATCCTTGGACTATCAGTGTTCTCCATGGTCCTCCATGTGTTCCATATCCAACTGGCAAGAATCGCCATGTTAGCAGTTCTGGGTGTACCGGTTACCCTTGATATTAAATGTGATTTTTCAAGATAAGGAAATGTAAATTTGAAACAGTCCTCATAAGGTTTTCTTAGTAGCATTTTTCTACATTTTAGTAAGCTCTCCAGGCGGAAAAGATTATTAATGGTCATTAATGGTCAGCAGGTCAATATTCTTCATACACAATGTCTTTATCTTTTAAGATGTCTTTTTCATTTCTCAAGTTTCACAATTTACCTCCAGTTCAGTTGGTTTCTCTAGGGCTCTGAGGGTTACTAATTAATTGTGGTTGATATCTTTGTCTTGTAGTGAAAATTTATTCTCAGACTGTATACGAGGGTGTTTTGTGGTAGCTTGTACATTATGCGCATTCATCAGCTTGGTGTGGTTACGGGAACAGATTGTGATGAATGGTGGTCCAGAATGGCTGGAGCCCAATGTTGTTGATCCACTTCCCCAAGTTAATGCTGTAAGTTGATCAAGGGCATATTAAGCTAATACACTTCAGAGGTATATGCATAGCTAAGTTAAAGAATTTCACTGCCAACATTATTGTACAATTACATAGTTTGACTGTATCAGGAAATTATGTATACGATAATATCATCTTTTGTATTGTAGTTCAATTAAATTTAGCTTTACATGGTGCTGTTACCAGTGTTTTTTTCTTCATGGCAATTACTTGAAAACTGAGTCAGCCAGCATTGAAAAATTAGTTGGTGGCCCATGTTTTGTGTGTAGTGGCAGCAAGTTTATTTAATAGGACTCACCATGTATATGTTGTAGGTCAAACTGAAATTCATAAAATTCCTTTGTCCTCTAACCCTAATTATTATTCATGGAAGACAAAGGAAATTGAGAATCAAACTAGGTTAAAATCATTTTAATCTGAATATCATTTTCACCTACAACATACATATTCATTACTATTTTGTTGCTGCAGGTTAATAATGATGCTGGGGGTGGTGCTGGGGATGCTGCTGAGGGTGGTGGGGCTGGGGAAAATGTTAACAATGCACAAGAAGCACCAGAAGAGGAAGACAACAATGGAGCCAATCAGGATGCAGAAAATGGAGCTAACAATGGAGATGGTCAGTACTAACAAAACTAACAGCAGAGGGAAAATTTTTGTGTTTTTTAATTCATGTATTTGCACAGTAAGAACATTGATTACTCAAAGAATGTGCTGGTATGCAGGACTGTAGCTAGTAGCAGGAAAACCGAGGTGCTTGCCTCAGTCATTGTTTTTCATTTTTGTTGTTTGTAGCAACTTAAGTATTGACATTTTCTCAGTCATAATTTTCTCTGGCTATAGCCCTGGTATGCTAAACATGTTTCTGAGTTTTTTAGTCAATGTTCATCTTACAGCTCAGTACTTATGGTAGTCAACTGACCTCTCTTCAGGGTTCCAATGAGATACATTTTCATGGCAAGGTGCAAGAAACTTAAACCAAACCTTCAGTACCTTTCTCTTAATTTGTTAGGAACATTGCTTTTGTTGTTCTTGCAGACGATGGAAACTGGAATCCTGTTGAATGGGAAAGAGCTGCAGAGGAACTTACATGGGAAAGGGTGAGATATCTCAATTACTGCTTTCTGAAAAGAGTCAGGTGGGGTTGAGTTTACAAAGTTCAGTGACAGCCTGACAAGTTAATAATATTACTAGCTACTCAACGTGAAATTTTTTCCTCTCTTTGCAGATGCTTGGGCTGGATGGCTCTCTTGTATTTTTGGTAAGTTTGCTTTTAGATTAGTGGAGCAGGTGTTTCAATGACTGTTAATACATTACTCCTTTGAAATCCTTATGAAACATTTTTGACTTTCCTTTTTAGGAGCATGTCTTCTGGGTGGTTTCTCTAAATACATCCTTTATTCTGGTCTTTGGTAAGTAACCTTTACCTTACGGTTATTATTAATTTTGGTACATATATTAAAACTGTACTCATTGTACTGTACATTTGATTGCTTTATGTCACAGTACTGTAGATTATGTCACTTATCTTCTGGTTACATGTTGATTGTAACATGCATGGCTTGTTTTATTTTACAGCCTTCTGTCCTTTCCACATTGGCCAGTTCACAGTCATTCTCTTGTCTCTTGAAGAAGTGGTAAGCAAGAGTTTAAAAAACCCTTTCATGATAATTTATTAATAGATAAGATTTGAAATTGGTTTGAGGTACAGAGGAACCTCTAGTCCAAGCTGTAAGGTTGTAGCTGTAATCTCTGTTTAAAAAATTAACCACACAATAAGAGCTTAGAAGTGAAATGAATGAAAGGAAGTGCCAAACAACTATTATGTAAGCATAAGGGTTGTGGTCTCTAAAAATGAATAATCCTACTTGCTTCTTTCTCTTAAGTGTGTCATGTACAATGGATAACTCAATCAGTAACATATGTGTATGTATCTGTTTTCTATCAAGAGCTTCATCAAATGAATGGCTTTTTTATCCTTATTTTGCAGTTTCAATCATCCAAATTTGAAGGCCTATTAACTGCTGTTTTGGGATATGTGATTATTGCTTTCTCTCTTATATTGTGTCATGTATCCTTTACTGTGAGAAACTTAGAATTTATTGTGCAGCGTTCCAGACAAGTGAGGGGTCTCAGGTCAAAGACCCAACAAGATCAGCTGATTGACCTGACAAATTAACAGAAAATTTACAGTGGTTTGGTGGGATCAGTGGGAATTGAACCATTGGAATTCCTTATTGACATCCTGCCTTAAAAAATTATCTGGAACCCTGAATATGACCGACAGTTTACCAGCTGTTTAGGTTAAAGCTGCTGTTTTATTTGTCTGCAGCAATTCAATGAGCAGAGTCTCTTAAGAGGCGCCCTCTGTAATTTTCAACTATGGCCATTTGGACCAGAAAAAATCAAATTCCTCAAACTTTCTCAGATGAATGGTCTAGATAAGTGATNCCTTGTGCGTTGAATCAGATAAAGTTGTAAGAATTTTAGAGCAAACATTTGGGAAAAGTTTTGAACTGATAGTATTGTTATCAATAGTAGTTGTCATCAGCTCTGACTTGCCCCTAGTCTTCTTCATACAGCGTGCAGCACAGCACAAGGTGAGAAGCGCAAGTTTGGGAAGAAAGGGGTGCCTTACCTTGTATTCTCACCTCATCAATCTCCAGATTGAGTGGTGCAGATGTGAGGCCTAGTTTTGGTAATCTTTATATGTTCTGAGCCACGACACTTAACTCTCACAGTGGCTCTCTCCACTCAAGCAAATGAATGGGTAGTGCATGGCAAACTGTTAGCTGAGGGCAACCTGACAGAAATGCTCTGGGGCTCCCTGGCATTGGCTGACATCCCATTCAGGGGAACTAGCAATGTTGGTCGTCATGTCAGTTCAGAAACAACAGGGTGCTGATTTTGTGAGTTATACTGTATATCATATAACCAATGCATACTGAGTCCTTTTTTTTGTTCTTTCTCCAGACCTAAAAGAATATTGGGGTTGTGTTATGTAGTAGTCAAAGTAAGTATTTTAATCAATTTTGAAATTTTGTGATGAACAATGAGCTACTCAAGGCTATTTTAGAATCAGCTCCAACTTGGTGTTTCTGCAAAGTTTTGGTAGATGAGATGGAGATTTGATGATATTTAGCAATTTCAAATTTGTGATGTTAAGTTTATGTGGCTGCTGATACAAACAATAGTAAAAATTGTTAAAATGGTACTGTTTGAGTGACAAAGATGCTGTTGTTGACCTTAATACCTGAATATTTGATCATATGATGGTATACTAATCACACACTGTCAGACTAATTTTAGCAATATGATTTAGTCTAAAGTAAATTATAATCAGGTGAAATTCAGATCATTTTTTCAAACAGTTGTCTGAAGTGTTTACCTAACATTTAATGAGACAGTCACAGCTATATTCAGAGTGTCAAAGGTTTCTTTTAAAGCCGATTTTCACTAGTGACAAAGTCAGAGTTGGAGTCATAGTTGAAGTCATATGAGCACTTAGGACCTAGTGAAAAAAAAATCAGAGTCGTTAGCGCAGTGGTAAGCTCTCAGGAGTCAGAGTCGGAAGAATCAGAACGTTTCCATTCCTTCTGATTCTATTATTATGACTCAGTGACTTGTGATCCAGTGAAAACTAGATTGTTGGAGTCAGAAGTAGAAGTAGGAGAACAACCAACCAATCACAAGGCGTGGAATCAAGCACTGTGATTGGTTTATTCTTCCGCTATTACTTCCGACTCTCACAATGTAGTCTTAGATCACAAGCGACAGAGTCAGTATTCTACATGTACTTCCGACTCTGTTATGATTTTCACTAGATCATAGCACTCTGCACCTCATATTGCAACTCCGACTACCACTCTCACTTGTGAATAGCAGCCTTTAGAAGATAACCCTTTACACGTATAACATGTATTTTAACACATTTTGTTGATATATCACCGTGATTCTTACAGTGATGTTTTGTAACTTTTCATTGCAGGTTTCACTGTTAATGTTGGTAGAGATTGGATTGTTTCCATTGGTGTGTGGATGGTGGTTAGATGTGTGTTCTCTGGTAAGTGACGTCCTTACTTTGATAAAAACAACATGCACTGCATTAGACTACTTGTGAATGAATCATGTGCCTTTACCATCTACCCAGCTGCACCCAGATCACTGTACTGAGCTGGTTGCATGTTCCATAACCTGTGATGGACTAGCATTCTTTTCAGGATGAAGTGGTAGGAGTTATAGTCTGTTGATTGATGCAAACAGAAACCTACATTCTGTAATCTGTGCAGGAAGCACAGACTGCAATTCTATTTTTACCATTACAAATGTCATGAGAAGTGAAACAAAGAACTACATCCTTGGGATCACTAAGCTAGAACCTTCTATTAATGGTAGTTCCATCCTCCATCACACTGACAGAAAATCTGACTGAGCTAGCCGGCGATTATGACTGACAGTAGTGATGTTTGGGCTTTTTTGTTAATAAGCTCAATGTTATTGTCCTTTTAGTCCCTTTTTGGAGCCACTCTGAAGGACAGGCTTATCAGTGTTGATTCAGCACCAGGTACTGTAATGGTTGGTATTTGTAGTAATGATTATTTTGTTTTTCTTGAACGAGGTTTTATGCTTGTTTATGCAATATGCGCATAAGGAGAAATCTGGGTCAAGAGTTGTCTTGCCATAGTCCCTTGCATGTTTCTACACTGTTATTACACAGAATGAGATAAAAGGCATGCAATGCATGTAGAAGGGTATGTAGCCTTAGCTCTTTGCAAACCCATTATACACGAAATGATGATGATGACGATGACGATAACAATGACGATGACAATGTTGATGATAATAATAATGTGGTGCGCTATACATATTAACATTTTTTACCAAGAGACTACTGTTTTATTTTCCAAGGTACAGCCATGTTTCTTCACTGGCTTGTTGGCATGGTTTATGTGTTCTACTTTGCTTCATTTGTGCTCCTGCTCAGAGAAGTCCTCAGACCAGGTGTCCTGTGGTTTTTGAGAAATCTGAACGACCCTGACTTTCATCCAGTTCAGGAGGTGAGGAAGTCCTTTAACACCAAGTAAACTGAGAGTTGTCCAGTTGTTTAGAGTTTCACTTAGAGCAGGGCTTGACTCGTGGAAAGTGCCAAATTTGATTTGTTAATGTGACCAGAACCTGCACTGAGTGTTCTAAAAAGAGCAACCTTTTTTCAAAGATAGCTTTTGTGCATGGGCTCCACTTAAATGGAAGACTGTGTCTAACTTTGTAATAATCACCTGGCCCTCAATAGGGTGATTCCTCATAAATATTGTATATGTGTAAGTGCTAATGCATTGTGCAGTAGGGATGCACAATGCAATTCTGAGGATTGAACTTAAAGTTTAACAAATTGACATCAGTTTTCATGCGTCTGTCCTGTTATTGATCATGAATTTCGTCGTGGATCTGCAGACTACATCAACATTTTTCCCTTCTTCAACATTTTTTAGGTTATTTCCATTTGGAAATGAGAATTTTGTTTATAATTTCAGATGATACGGCTCCCAGTTTACAGACATGCAAGGAGGTTCTTGCTATCCCTGGTGAGTTTTTGTAATTGCCTTTATCGTCTTAATGTCCAAGTTACAAACCAAGACATGTGATTGCTCTAGTGCACCAGTCCTCCTAAGATAGTGTGAGATAGTTTCAAAATTAGCCATCCACCAGTGTAAATAGCGCTTGTTTTATGAACTGGTACGTGTAGTTTCTTAGAAAATGATCGTAACTGAAATGTTTTGTTTTTTCTCTGTCAGGTTGTTTTTGGCACCACAGTGCTGTTGATGATGTACCTTCCTGTCAGACTCATCAAATGGCTTCTGCCTAACTTCTTGCCTTACAATGTCCAGTTATCCAGGTCAGTTCCAAACCAAGTTTCCTGTAAGCAACTTGTTGGTTACTGCAGTTTTGTGAACCTTCTTTTAGTGTGAAGGGTGATCAGCGTCAATTTTCTCCATGCTGTGCCAACTCATTATTTAGAAGACAGGGAAATATGGGAAATAATAAAGGCTACGAAATTTTTTTGGTGTGCCAGCAAATTTAGAATAAGATTCAAACTAGCATAACAAAAGTAGAGAATATGATTTTGAAATTTGGACTTGAGCAGACACAAGTGAGATTACCTTCTGAGGCCCGGTTCCCACTATGCCAGAGCAATTTGAAAATGCAGCTTTATTTGATACAGAGTTAGGCCTACCATCCCAAGTTTCTTTTTATCTCAAAGGAGGTTTATGATGTTTTTGTTTCAGTGAGGTGCCAGTCAGTGAATTATCTCTGGAGTTGCTTCTTCTGCAAGTTGTGTTACCAGCATTGTTAGAGCAAGGTCATACTCGTCAGTGGTTGAAGAATGTCATGCGTGGCTGGGCTGTGACAGCTGCATTTGTTCTGTAAGTTTCCTAACAACTAATGAATGATTTGATTTGATTTGATTTGATTTGATACTTACATCAAGGTTTCACTTTAACATTAATACTGTCTTTTGCATGTTTTATTGCTATCACTCCTTGATAACTGGTTCATGGTTTGTGTTTAAAGCTTGCAGTTTGTAGGTCAAAAATACAAAAAAGCACCTCTGATCTCTGACCTCTTGATCTCTTGACCTCTTAACTTTTTGACCTCTTGACAACGCTCTCTCCTTTGAATGAGCAATCAGGATCCATTTGTTGAAGAATTATTCAATGCTAATGTGAGATGGAGATGGAATTTCTAATTTTGAATCAAAAAAAGTTGCAAGAAATGAAGGGCTCAAACAAAAGTTGATTCTACTCCTCTTTTGTTGAATAACTTCATCCAGAAGTTTCGTTTTGGCTCTTATTTCAGAAATCTTCGATCGTATCTTCTGGGAGATGTGCCCTTGGATGGTGTAGTAAATGTAAGTTTTCAGCAAGTTGTTATCAAAGATATATTTATTGACTTTACTGAGAACAATTGTAGACATTTGTTTCTATTTCTCACGTAAAACTGAGTCACAAAGTGGCAAATATTTCGCTTCAGTCGAGGAGAGAAGAAAGTAAACCTCTGGGACCAGGGTAGGCCAGTTGAAACCAAGTCAGTCCGGAAAACAGAGATGTTGAAATAGCATAATCTGATCAAAAGGCCATTTTTGAGTTGCCTTGTGCCTCTGTATCAAAAGGAGTCTTCCCCTTACAGGTTCTTTTTCATGCAAATGAAACTCATTTTCATATCGAAGGTTATGTTTGAGGACTCGTTTTGAACCAGAGGCACAAGATACCCGGAAATGTCCTATTAGGTTTGCGTCATGTTGGTTCATGTTCTAATTTGTAAAACAGCTCAGAATCCAGTTGTCAACTTCAATGTGAACATCGGGAACTTTGGAGTGTATTGTCAATATTCCCATTCTTTCAGGTGTATGGTTTACATTTGAATAATCGGAACAACCAACGAAATGCAGGCAATGTCCCTCAAGTTAATGTCGCTGGCCAGAATGCAGTGCAGGCTCCACCGCCGTTTGGTGGTCACGGTGCTGGTGAAGGGGGAGCGGCTCTTGGATTTCAGCCTTACATCAGACCACCCATGTTTGTGTTCAGGGTAAGTGTTAAGCACATTTCCTCCTTTAGAAATCTACTGTACTTGAGGGTTTTCACCTGGGACGTTGCTAAGCAAGGTAAGAAATCGACTCTCCCTCAAATAAGTCCACCTCTTTTGTAGTATATATATTGAGCCCAATTCCCTCCCTCCCCCACCTCCTTACCCCCCCCCCCCTATCTATCATAAGCCTAGGATTACGGTGAATTTAAAGCTGTGGGGTAACCCTGCGATGGACCAGCATCCCATCCATGGGGAGTCGAAATACTCCAAGTCACTTCATGCCACTGAAACCGTATGAGAGATTTGGTCCAATGCAGGCCTTGCCAAAGGATTCTGAAGCTGAAAACAGAGGAAAGGTGGCATTTTCTAATAATGTGTTCTTGTTTCTTGTCCCCCAGATTCTGCTGCTTGTCGTATTGATGTGTATGTCGCTCTCTCTTGCAAGTTTCGTGTCTTTAACTGGCCCTGGTGAGTTGTGGAGAAATCTTTAAAACATGGTTTTGAGGGATGTAATTATGTGTTGTCAACATTGAGCAAAGGTGAGGACATGCAAAATATCTAGCAATCGACATGGTCCTCATCAACAATCATAACAATGCTTGTAGATCGTTCTAAACGAACCTATTTTATCGCAGAGATTTTTTCTCCGAACTGGTTAACTAAACAAACCTAATGTTGCTCGGTTTCTATGCACTGATGTTGACATCCTTACCTGCAACGCAAAACATGCCATTGTAGTTTTTGTTTGTTTGTTTTTTCAAGTCATCCTTAGAGAGCGATTTTCTAGTAATTCTTGTAGAACCAGGTTCTTGATAATTGGTCAAACGAAACAGTAGTTGAAGAACACAAACAATGCCCAAGCCCTAAGAACAAAAGACGTGCAGATTAACAGGAACGAGTCAAAATAGAGGTTTTGAAGTGGTGCAGATCAACCACAACCCGTGCCAAGCGCGGGAAAGCGCGCGTAAGCCAAGTCATGATTGGTTTTGCTCCTGATTGGTCAACCTCGTTCCCAGGGTCTTTCATGTTCACGCCCTGCCGGAGCGAGAGAGGATGTTCTCAATTCTCAAAGAAGCACGTGACCAGACCCAACCAGGGTCTCTCCTCTCTCGTTCCGGGAGAGTAGGAAGATAAGGGACTTTGAGAACGAGGTTGTTGATTGGTTTAAAACCCGTCGTGTTTGTTCTGATTCGCCGGAGCATGTTACTTAATATTTTTAGCAAGTTATAGAACTGTTATGAACAGCTCACCTCTAGCTCTATAATATGAAACTATGCGTTTTTGTTTTTTGTTTTTTTCCCAGTGTCCATTGGCCGTAGCGTGATGCTGTTGTGGATGGGTGATGCGTCTGTGCACGAGCTGTACACTGCAGCATGTGGTCTCTACATCATATGGCTTGTGTGTCGAGTGGGAAGTGTTCTTGTCTCCTGGGTGCCTCTTGGTTGGAAGGGTGTGGCCATGAAGTTCTTCGAGTGGTTTCTCTTGGTAAGTTATCTTTATCTTCATTGTCTTTTCAGAGTTCGGCATATCCGAAGAGCTTTCGATCCTTAGTTTACTAATCAATCAGTGGGCAGTTAGCGCGAGTTCTGACGATCGTACCGAACATTCTTCCGTCAGATGATTAGCTTGATCGTGCTGCCCGTAACTCAGCGACTTCTCCATGAAAATCGCAGCATCAGTCAAATTTAAGACGCATTGTGGTGATGTTGAGAGAAATCACTAATGTTCAGTAGTCTTGGGAATTTAAGTACAGACCTCAAGTCAGTTCAGATTTATTTCATAATTTTACTAAGGTTGAAAATCGTAAGAAAGGTAATAAGGGCCCATAAGGGAACAACGATGGTTAAGGTTAGGGAGTACTGAGAAGGATTACGAAGGAGAACTTAACATGGCCGTAATTACATTAAACTTTATGTACGTTTACATTAGATGTCGTTCATATTTGGAGCTTACTGTACATAAATTATAAATGAACTCACTTCATTTTAAAGTGTTGTTTTGTTTTTTAGGGTCTCAAATGTGTTATTGTGGCTCTTGCCCTAATTGGCTTGGTACCTTTGTTGCTGGGCCTACTGTTTGAGCTCGTTGTGGTTGCACCTCTACGAGTCCCTCTTGATCAAACTCCCTTGTTTTTCCCATGGCAGGTGAGTGAATGAGCCATTCTTCAAAGCACGCGAACTTTATGTACCGGTCCCTTACTGAGGTTGGTGTCTGTTTTGCTCTATATTAGGACTGGGCTCTGGGCGTGCTCCACATGAAAATCATATGTGCGGTGACTATGATGGGACCGAATTGGTGGCTCAAGGGAGCCTTGGAACAGGTTAGACACCAGTTTTATTGCAGCCAGCTTGGTCTATTTCGCCCGGTAGCAGTGCATGTAGCTTGCCAATACAGCCGCCTCTCATTGCTGAAACCGGCCCCCTACGCGGACGGCCTTATGGCTCGTCACGCAATTTTTTGTTGGGGCGGAAAGATTGCGTGACGAGCCATAAGGACATCTGTGTAGGAGGCCAGGAGCGTTGAGAAGCTGTTGTATTTGCAGGCCATGCTGCTCGCTGATGATAAAGGAATAGGAAGTCAGTTACCCTTTTCTTTCTGATTTAACCAGTTTGGATTTATCGGCTTTGTCCAGGTCTATCAAGATGGTGTTCGGAATGTCAACGTCATGTTCATTTTCCGTCATGTGACCTTACCCGTTGTAACTTGTCTCCTATTGGCTGTTTCGTTCCCTTACGTCATCGCTGCTGGCGTGGTACCCATATTTGGTGAGTATGAATTGTAGCATGTAGTTTCAAAATTCAGTGAGTAACTTTGTTTTCAAGGACGCCTTGTCTCATTATATTGGGATTAAGTTGTAAGGAAACCTTATTCCCCAGCGAAGAAAAATGCAAACCGCTTGATCTCTTCTAGTGTAGCAAGAGCTATATAGTACTTGAACTTTAGATTGTTCAATCATTGAGTTTTCTTGAGTTCATCGCGAAGAACAACAAGGGCACAATCGAAGCTCTTTCATTCTGGAATCTCTCTAGCCTTGATTAGTAAAGTTCTCCTGCGTCTTTACGGCTTAGTTTGTAGGCTAGCCACAGATCGGCCTTTGCTGTCTCTGGAGCTTTTTTCAGTTTTTTCTCAACTGGGAAGAGCAGAACTCCAACGGAGGGCAGAAATACCTACTACGGCAGTTGTTACCTTTTCAACTTTAAGCTGAAAATTGACCACCGACACACCACAACAGAATCGTTTCACAATTTTCACTAAGATTGTTGAATTGTACTGCTTTTTTCAGTGCGATCGCCCGAGACCGCCCTGTTCTGTCTCCGTCGTATTTATCCGTTCTTACTGGCCATGTTCATCTTAATTGTGGGCTTCATATTCCAAGGGCGACAATTTCGACTTCTCTACGAACGCATCAGGAATGATAAGTAAGTGACATTGTAAATTAGTTCATGTCTAGCTCTCTTTGTTGCTCCCAGTATTCCCTTTTTTGTGTCATCATGGAAATCAACAAACCGACAACCTTTCGTAATGTTAAGAGCATTTTAGTGCGATTTTCCTGATGGCGTCATTTGACTGCAACTACCAGAATCCTTCACTTTTTCTGTTTCTTATGCTAATTAGGACAATTGTTATGTAAACCCCACTGGGAATTCAAAATTT